GAAAAAGAAATAATTGATCGCCCAAAACGCCTCAGAGGTTATTTTCGGGCGTTTGAAAACAAACATTTTGCGGGGACACAGACAACTCTACTTTTTGTAAATGAAGACCGTATTGCCAAGGCGTTGTATTAGAGTGCTGGGTAGCAGTAAGATGAGCCCCGTGGCCTCTTCTGGGACGTCAGTCGATAGCCCCAGAACGAACACCACCGGTAAGGTTTGGTAATTAGGTGTCGGGCAGTAGTAGGAAAGACCTGGGCCCCTTTTGAGTGGGGGCCTGGGGCTGCTCACGGGTGTTACGGCACTGGTTACAAAATATCAACCTAAATAGGACGTATTGTGGGCCTATGGAATGCTCATTTACCATTTTGGCCATTAACAGAACTGGTCCATGGCACCCGGCTTTTGGAAAAAACCCGGGTTATAAATCCTGCTGGTTTGTTGAATAGGGAAAGGTTCTTAAATTATTTATTGCCATTGAAGCCCATGAGATGAAGTGAGTGATTATAATGGGTTTCTTGTTTACATTCCAATGGCTATATGTTGCATGCTGGCCAGGACACTCTTGTTAACTCCCAATGGACTTTCTTAAAACCAATTAAAGTTAAGTTTATGGGGCTGCTAAAAGCTCCCTCTGGACCATTTGACAGCTCACTCTCAACTATCAGACCACTATGGACCATTTCTGCTAACGGGGACTTTTGCCTCATGCTATCTTTTTGTTCAAACGCGTAATACGGTAGCACCTTTGCATTATGATTACTAGTTCCTTTGTGACCTTAAGTCACATGGAACTAATGTAATATTCACATGTAAAATGTGTTCACATGTAAAATGTGTGTATGAGATGTGCAACCAAAAGAGGTCAGCATATTTGTAAACAAATAGGCTCCGAAAAGGTGTAGTTGCTGGTAGACATGCAATTGTGCAAGAGATGTTTGTTTTTTCGGTTAGATGTAAAATGTAAGGTGTAGGCGATAAAACATATACCCCCTACCACCAGTTTTAAGTCGTTTTTTAGTCGAAAATTTGATTTGCGCATGCGTCGGGTCAAACTTTCCCGCCATTTTGTTTCTGTCGCGAGCTAAGTTCTTTACAGTTTATGTTGTTTTCGCGACTGTCAGTAAACATTGAGCAAGATGAGATAGTTGTGGCATATCGGCCACTTACCTGTGCTATTATTTGAAGTGTTCTGTGTGTTCTATTAGTGTTTTAGTATACTTTAACGGCTAAGATTGACGGACCTGGTGTACCTAGGCCTAGACACATACGTAATGACAATGTAGGCTTCTCTTTGGGCGACACCGTCGGACCTGGTGTAGGCCTAGACACATCTGATATACTGTACCGTTACGTAAAGTAGGTTTCTTGGCCTACCGTCAAGCAATAAAAATCAACATTCGTGGAATTATTTTCCAAGAAATGATGGTTGAAAATTCTGGACACATAAATATGCAGCATGTGATGGACGGACGAACCTAAGGGTTGGCAGGGGTAGCATGTGATGGACGAACGAACCTAAGGGTTGGCGGGGGGGGGGGGGAGAACTGGGACTGGAGTTCATCAAATGATGTTTGGGAAAATAATGGTCAGAAAATACAGCATCTGATGGACATTCCCGGGTGGAGGAGAACCTTTATATGGACACATAAATTTACAGCATAGCTTCATCAAATGATGTTTGGGAAAATAATGGTTAGAAAATACAGCATCTGATGGACAGTCCCGGGTGAGGGGAGAACCTTAAAATTATGGACACATAAATTTACAGCATGTGATGGACTGACCGTCTATACACATATACAGCATGTGATGGATGCATGTATCTGATGGACAGTCCCGGGTGGGGGAGAACCTTAAAATTGCGCCCTAAAAAATGCGCGCCAAGCGCGCAAAATATTTTTGTTTTTATTCTAATTTCGTCGGAACTCCCTAAAATGTGCAATTTATAGAGGAAATTGGCCTACCGTAACAAGAAATGCGCGCAAAGAATTTGAGAATTTTAGGTACTTTCAGAGGATGCATTTGTCAAGGGGATT